TCCTTTTTAACATAACATAACATGTAGGAGCAGGAGTAGGCCATTCGGCCCTTCGAGCGTGTCCCACCATTCAATCATGGCTGATCTTCTAATCTAACTCCAGCTAATAACCTAACCCTGCCCTATCCCCATATCCCTTAATCCCTTTTGCAATAAGAAATATATCTATCTCAATCTTGAATATGTTCAAGGACTGAGCGTCAACATCCCTTTAGGGCAGCGAGTTCCATACATTCACCACCCTTTGAGTGAAGAAGTTCTTCCTCAACTCAGTGCAAAAGGGCTGGCCTCTGAATTTAAGGTTGTGAACCCTGGTTTTAGTTTCTCCAACCAGGGGAAACAATCTCCCACTATCAACTCTATCATGCCCTTTGATGATCTTATAGGTTTCTATAAGATCCCCTCTAATTCTTCTATAGATTTTCCTCAACCGAGGATTCCCATCCACTGTGGTGGACAGGGCCCTTGACCGTGTCCAGCCTATTTCCTGCAACTCTGCCCTCACCCCTTCCCCCTCTTCCCAGAACTGAGATAGGGTCCCCCTAGTCCTCACTTTCCACCCCACCAGCCTCAACATCCAAAAAATAATTCTACACCATTTCCATCACTTCCAGCATGATCCAACCATTAAGCATATCTTTCCCTCCCCTCCCCTCTCAGCCTTCCAAAGGGACTGTTTCATCCGTGACTCCCTGGTTCATTCCTCCATCACCACCAACAGTTACTCGCCTCCCTCCGGCACCTTCACATGCCAGCGCAGGAGATGCAATACTTGCCCTTTCACCTCCTCCCATATCACTGTCCAGGGCCCCAAACACAGATTTAAAGTGAGACAGCGATTTACATGCACTATCACCAATGTAATTTACTGCATTTGCTGCTCTCAATGTGGTCTCCTCTACATTGGGGAAACGAAAAGCAGATTGAGTGACCGATTTGCCAAACACCTCTGTTCTGTCTGCAAGCACAACCCTGAGCATCCAGTCTCTTGCCATTCAACTCTCTCTCCCACTCGCACTCTAACCTCTCCATCCACGGTCTCCTACACTGTTCCAATGAGCCACAGCGCAAGCTCGAAGAACAGCACCTCATTTGTCTGCTGGGGACCTTACAGCCCTCAGGTCTCAATATTGATTTTAACAATTTCAGACCATAACAGCTCACATTCCCCCTCCCCCACTTCTGTGACCATTACCACATCATCTGAGTCTCAGACACACCTTTTCTCTGGTCTGCCTATTTTGTTGCATTTTGTACCCCTTTTGTTTTGCATTATTAACACTCTTTTCCCCTGTTTTGTTGCAATACCCCCTTTGTTTTGCATCATTAACACCCCTTTAACTCATCATCCCCTGTCTTCTTAGCCCATTTTCTACATTGTCTTCCTTGCCCTGCCTCCCCCCTCTCTGTTAGCCCTTAAAAGCCTCTCCCTCCCAACATGCCCCAGTTTTGACAAACCCAAAACGTTGACTCACTTTCCTTTCTCCATAGGTGCTGCCTGACCTGCTGAGTGTTCCCAGCGACTTCTGTTTTTGTTTCAGTTTTCCAGCATCTGCAGTATTTGGGGTTTTTTCCAAGGGAAAACTTGAGAGACGACCGTTGAAGGCAACCGTGCCTTCAGCTCCTCTCTCGACGCTCTACCCCCTCCTTGCTCCTTCCCTTCCATCCCCTCACCCTGACCATTTCCCCCCTGTTCGGGTCCCAACCCAACTGTCCAGTGCCTTGGGACGTCCTCCCGACGTTGAAAGGCGCTCTATAAATGCAATCTTGTTGTTGTTGAGGGGTGTTCATTTACTCATCACTCACAATTTCAATTGTTTTTGGTCAACTATGTATCTGACACAAGTAGAAACCACATTACACAGTATATGTCTGGCACCAACACATCAAAATTTCTTTCTATCTGGAATGGAATGCGCACTCTCTCCCTAAAGGGACGCACCCTGCTTTCCTCATTCCAAAGAGCATTAGGCACAGGTTGGCAAGAGCCAAGGCTTGGGGACCCAGAGTGTGTATTGGAATACTACTGGCGTTCAACCAGTTAAAACCACATCAGTTGCCATTGAGAGAACTGTCTTGGAAGCTGCCCATTGTTTATTCAGCCAGGATGACCGCAGTCGCTGAGACCTTGTCTTACAGGGTTACAAGAGCCAAGTGGGAAGAATCCTTGCTCCCAGCGATTGGTCTGCCCTTCCAAATCCCGCCAATGAGCCAGGCTGTTTGGGTTATCTCAGGAATCAGACTACCAAGAACGGTACTTGATTCTGACATCTGACACGACAAGGCAAAACGTTGGGCAAGTTTCCTTACTTCAGACGCCTCTGTTTACCTCGCAGTAAGTAGGAATTCGGTTGTTAATCAATTGGCGAATCGCTTTTTCGGAGGTGATAATGCCTTAAAAAAAGTGGTTAGAGCACTTGCAAGCGAGAGACCTGGGTTCGATTCTCGGCAGGGCAAACCTTGGGCACGTTTCCTTACTCCACATGCCGAATAATAATCCCTCAGGAAAAAAAACAATAATAATTTGGTCACTCAATCCACGACTGTTTGTGGGACACTGCTGTGCACAATTGGCTGCTGTGTTTCAAAATATACAGTCATTTCACTATACAGTATATTCTGTGAAACACTTTGAGACGTCACAAAGACATGATAAGGCGCTATATCAAATGCAAGGATTATTATAGCACTTTTCATGTCGGGAGAACACCTCTATGTTCATCACAGGCTATACTATAAAGTGTGTATTTTGGATAGCACTGATCTAGGCTGATAATCCAACACAGCACATTGTTAGAGGTTCCAGCCTTCTAATGATTTGTTAAACTGTCTCCAGGTTAATGTTAAATATCCCCTGGCAATATTTCAATAGAGGAGTTCCTTCTGGTATCCGGGCAAACAACCCCCCAGATAAAATTGGTCACTCACTTCATGTGTGGGGCATTGCTGTACACAGATTGGCTACTCCATTTGTTTATATATATATATGCCTATACAGTCACTATATTTTACTATACTATAGTGCCCTCCACCCAGAGTAGCATTTCAGAGCGCTTAACAGTGGCGAAGCCTGACTCCAAGGTGGAGGGGGTGGGAGAGGTACGAGCTGGGGGCGAGTTTCTCAAAACTGAGAAGAGTTTTGATATGTTTTGATGTGATAAGGCATTGTATCAATTCTCTATCTGTCTTCAAGTCCCACCTTAAAACCTTTCCTTTCACTGTAGTTATGGTCTATTCTGCCTTTAAAGCGTCATTGTATGTGACTGGTGCTATGCTTAAATGCAAGTTGTCGCTGTTAGAATAAACATTGTCTTTATCCTGGGAAGACAATTTTAGCTGAGAACACAGTGCCACCACGTGTCTATACGCTGCAACACTACAGAAAATAAATCTCAAAAAAATTCATCGCACCTGGGAGCACAGCACCACAAAGTGGCCAAATGAAGAAACTATATTGAGGAACATAAATAAAATGACAAACAGAAACTGTGGCAGCCGGTGGCAAAACAGTGTAATTGCACCAAAAGGTATATATCAACAACTTAACACATGGAGAGTGTGTCAGAGTGCTCGACAGTGGGTGTTTGATGCTGAGCCAGGGAAGGAGGGCAGATAGGCACAGGCAAAGATGCAAAAAGACAGCAATTGGAGGGGTTCAGGCAGAGAGTTCCAAAGTTTCCGGCAAAGTATCTGAGGCCGTTCATAATGGAGTGGAGGAGCGAGGCATGTGTCCTGTAGCTCAGTGGTTAGGGCACTCGCTTTGCAAGCGAGAGACCTGAGTTCAATTCCAGGCAGAGGGCGAAACCTTGGGCAAGTTTCCTTACTCCACACAGAGCCTAATAATAATCCCTCCAAAACCAAAAACAATAATAAAATTGGTCATTTTCAATCCACAACTGTTTGTGGGACATTGCTGTGCGCAATTGGCTGCCGCGTTCGCCCACAAAAATATACGGTCAATTCACTTTACAGTGTCTTCTGTGAAGCGCTTTGGGACGTCCTCCTATATCAAATGCAAGGATTATTATTAGGATTATTATGTGCGGGGGCCGGAGCCAGCAGAGCGCCGGCGGTGGGCAGTGGAGTGGGGTAAACCGGTTGGGAGGGCATGAAGTGAGGATCTCGAAATCCATCTGTTCTGAGCAGCCGAGTGATGGGGATACAGAGTCTGGTACAGGTGAGGATATGATCTTTCGTCATATATTATATATATATATAAGCATTTTGTTTTGAAATGTCTTGAAGATGTGATAAGGCGCTATATCAAATCAAGGATTTATTATTATTTTAACGACATTTTGTCTTAAAAATTAACATTTCTCCAAATTATCTCAAATTCTGTACCATTGACTTGACAGCAATTGCCCACAACTCCGACTCGATCTCAAATGTGAAGACAAGTTTGTTTTACAGATTAAGACCAGGTGGGATTTCAGGCCTCAGATAGTCTGATAGTCTGTCCACTGGGCGGCGCTGTGACTCCATGGATGCAGTGCTGGTGTCTGTCCGCCGGGCGGCGCTGTGACTCCATGGGTGCAGTGCTGGTGTCTGTCCGCCGGGCGGCGCTGTGACTCCATGGGTGCAGTGCTGGTGTCTGTCCACTGGGCGGCGCTGTGACTCCATGGGTGCAGTGCTGGTGTCTGTCCACTGGGCGGCGCTGTGACTCCATGGGTGCAGTGCTGGTGTCTGTCCACCGGGCGGCGCTGTGATTCCATGGGTGCAGTGCTGGTGTCTGTCCACCGGGCGGCGCTGTGACTCCATGAGTGCAGTGCTGGTGTCTGTCCGGCGGTGGCGCTGTGACTCCATGGGTGCAGTGCTGATGTTTGTCCACTGGGCGGCGCTGTGACTCCGCGGGTGCAGTGCTGGTGTCTGTCCACTGGGCGGCGCTGTGACTCCATGGATGCAGTGCTGGTGTCTGTCCGGCGGGCGGCGCTGTGACACCACGGATGCAGTGCTGATGTTTGTCCACTGGGCGGCGCTGTGACTCCGCGGGTGCAGTGCTGGTGTCTGTCCGCCGGGCGGCGCTGTGGGCCCGGGTGAGGCGGTGTCTGGGTCTCGGAGGCGGTGGTGTTGCGGTCGGAGATGGTGAGCGCGGAGTCGGGGGAGTGACAGCGGCGGAGGGTCAGTGATCAGCGACGGGAAACTCATCGGCGGCGGCGGAGGGGAATGATTGCGGCGCCGTGAAAGGTGAGGGTCTCCCCGGGGGCGAGAGGCGCGGCGTCGGGGCCCACAGGCCTTCCCCCCCCGGGGGTCAGGTCACAGCCACAGAGAGACACTCACACACACAGTCACACAGTCACACACACAGTCACACACACAGTCACACAGTCACACACACAGTCACAGTCACAGAGAGACACTCACACACAGTCACACAGTCACACACACACACACAGTCACACACACACACACACTCACACACAGTCACAGTCACAGAGAGACACTCACACACACAGTCACACAGTCACACACTCACACACACAGTCACACACACACACACACTCACAGTCACAGTCACACACTCACACACACAGTCACACACACACTCACAGTCACAGTCACACACACACACACACCAGTCACACACACACAGTCACACACACACACACAGTCACACACACAGTCACACACACACACACACACAGTCACACACACACACAGTCACACACACACAGTCACTCACACACACACACACACCACACAGTCACACACACACAGTCACACACACACACACACACCAGTCACACACACCCACACACACAGTCACACACACAGTCACACACCACACACACACAGTCACACACACACACTCACACACACAGTCACACACACACACACACAGTCACACACACACACACAGTCACAGACACACACACACACAGTCACACACACACACACACAGTCACACAGTCACACACACACACACACAGTCACAGACACTCACACACACACAGTCACAGACACTCACACACACAGTCACACACACACACACAGTCAGACACACACACACACTCACACACACACACAGTCACACACACACATCACACACACACACACACACTCACACACACACACAGTCACACACACAGTCACAGTCGCACACTCACACACACAGTCACACACACACAGTCACACACACTCACACACACACAGTCACACACACACACACTCACACACAGTCACACACACACAGTCACACACACACAGTCACACACACACAGTCACACACACAGTCACAGACACACACAGTCACACACACACACAGTCACACACACACACACACAGTCACACACACACAGTCACAGACACTCACACACACACACTCACACACACACACACAGACAGACACAGTCACACACACACACACAGTCACACAGTCACAGACACACACACACACAGTCACACACACAGACAGACACACAGACAGACACACAGACACAGTCACACAGACACACACACAGACACACACAGTCACAGACACTCACACACATACACAGTCACACAGACACACACACACACAGACACAGACACACACACACAGTCACACAGTCACAGACACACACACACACAGTCACACACACACACACACAACACACACACACACACACACACACACACTGTTCAGCAGTGACCCACAAATAGTCATGAATTGACAGCAAATTATTATTTTTTTTGAACGGGTCATTACCCCCGGAAAAGCGATCCGCCAATCGACTAACAATCGGGTTCCTACTTACTGCAGGGCGTGCGGAGTCAGAAAACTTGGCTAACGTTTCGTTCTGCCCAGGAATCAAACTGGGTCCTCTGACTTGCAGGGATCTAACCAATAAGCTACACGGTTCCACGATATATCCCATTTTATCCATAGCATTCCATATTATAATATATCACGTGTTAGACCATATTCATATTTAAAAACAGATTTTAAGTTTGAATCTTCATCGCGCCACACCAATTGGCAGATTTAATCACTCAAATTAACTGATTTGCTCTTGGGACAAGTAATGAACATCACCCAAAACAGTAATACAATAATCCTTGTATTTTGTAGCACCTATCATGTTGGGGGGATGTCCCAAAGCTCTTCAGAAGATTTACTGTGAAATGGAGTGACTATGTAATTGTAGGCAAACACAGCAGCACAACTGCACACAGTAATGTCCCACAAACAGCCATGAAACAAATGGCCATTTTATTTTGGGGATTGTTGGCCAGGACAGGAGGAGAAACTCCCCCCCCTTTTGAGTCATGCCATGGGATCTTTAATGTCCACCTGGACAGGCAGACAGGACCTCAGTTTAACATCTCATGCAAAGGACTGCACCACCAATAATGCAAACCCCTCTCCCCCCTCCGCCGGCACTGTATTGGACTATGTGAGTCGTCCTGACATGGGACTTGGACCCACAAACCTCTGACTCAGAGACAAGAATGCTACCAACTGAGCCAAGTCGCTCACACACACGAGTTACAGATATTACTCCAAGTTAACAAGAGCACAAACAGCACAGAAAAACATTTCTACCTTGTGAGGATTAAACGTACAGAGAAAAGAATTGCGACTTAAAGAATCAAACAATGAACGTCTAGACAGTCCGGAAACAAGGTAGAGAAGCTTCAGAAAACAAGTCCACCACAGCCTCTATATGATAACCATTACTGCATCCCTTAAATTCACATACATCAGTTTCCTTACCATAGTACGCAACACAAAAACCGTGCACCACACAATCCGCAGCTTCTTGTTCTGGTGTAAACATTTATCAGGAAGGAGGAGTGTCTCACAGTCAGACAGCGCTGCCACTATCTGCATACAAATGTTTCAGATAGGAGTGTGTGTGTGTGACGGATGCGCTGTGTGTGCAGCTCAGGGGCGATGGAGGGCTGAGTGTTCGGGGCTGAATGTGCTGATGATAATAGGTGAGTGTAGAGGATGTTTGCTGCGGTGTTGGCGTGTGTGTGAGTGTGGGGGGGGTCAGAGTGTGGGTGGGTCATAGTGTGGGGGGGTCATAGTGTGGGGGGGGTCATAGTGTGGGGGGGTCATAGTGTGGGGGGTCATAGTGTGGGGGGTCATAGTGTGGGGGGGTCATAGTGTGGGGGGTCATAGTGTGGGGGGTCATAGTGTGGGGGGTCATAGTGTGAAGGGGGGGTTGGTCAGAGTGGGGGGAGTCAGAGTGTGGAGGGGGTCAGTGTGTGGGGGTTCAGGGTGTGAGGGGTCAGTGTGTGGGGGATCAGGGTGTGGGGGTGGTCAGGGTGTGGGGTGGGTCAGGGTGTGGGGGGGTCAGGGTGTGGGGGGATCAGGGTGTGGGGGGGTCAGGGTGTGGGGGGGTCAGGGTGTGGGGGTGGGTCAGGGTGTGGGGGGTCAGGGTGTGGGGGGGTCAGGGTGTGGGGGGTCAGGTGTAAGGGGGTCAGGGTGTGGGGGTGGGTCAGGGTGTGGGGGTCAGGGTGTGGGGGGTCAGGGTGTGTGGGTCAGGGTGTGGGGGTCAGGGTGTGGGTGGGTCAGGGTGTGGGGGGGTCAGGGTGTGGGGGGGTCAGGGTGTGGGGGTGGGTCAGTGTGTGGGGGGTTCAGGTGTGGGGGGGTCAGGGTGTGGGGTGGGTCAGGGTGTGGGGGGGTCAGGGTGTGGGGGGGTCAGGTGTGGGGGGGTCAGGGTGTGGGTGGTCAGGGTGTGGGGGGTGTGGGG